ATCTTCGACCCACATTATCTCTTCATTAGTGGCAGTGGAGGGTTTAGGGAGATGCTTTATGGGCACTATAGTGAGTAATACGGAATCTTTACTGCTTGAAAACTTTGAAAGGGCATCGGCATGAGCATTTTCTGTGCGTGGTATTTGCACTAACTCAAATATTTCGAAAACAGGAATGAACTCCATAACTAGTTTCAAGTATGCGGCCATGGACTTATCTCTAGCTAAAAAATTGCTATGAACCTGGTTTACAACCAACTGGGAATCACTACTGATTACAAGCCTCTTTGCCTGTATTTTCCTGGCTAGTCCCGAGGACTTAAAATGGAAACCCTACCCATTTATTCATACAGTTGGCTTGCTAAATCGTATCTGGCATTTTACACTTTGTACATTTAATAAGATGTTATCTTAGATAGTAAGCTGTGGAGGATTTTGAGCCATTGGATCTAGGTTGAGCTTATGTGTGATATAAATAGAGTTATTTTCTCGTTTTAGAGAAGGCTCCAAAACTGGCAGAAAACAACATTCGACTTGGCATTCTAATTTCTATTCTTTGTATAAATATTATTGTAAGTAACATTTTGATTATCGCATACATACATTGTACATTAACTAGAAGCACTAAAAATATAAAAATTCGTTGAAATGTTACCATGCCCTTGTTTAAGCCCCATTTTCGGGCAAAAAATACATTTTTTTAGTAGTGTTTTTTTAAAGATTGTGCGGTTAAAAAATAAGAAAACTTTTCAATTTACGTGTAATATTATTTTAAGAAAAAGGCATAGATGAAAATGAATTGTCAAAAAATAGGGGGCCAAACATAGGCCATATTTCCCTCTTCTATTAAAAAGGAAAACCTCCATTTACTGTTCATTCTGGACGTATTTCCCTCTTCTAATTTTATCCATCTACTGTTCATTAAGAAACAAAATACTGGGGAGTCAAAAATTTAGGCGGTGAAAGGTGGTGCAAAATTGTAGGTGGTTAAAGGCGGTGAAAAATATCATGTTTCTTCCTTGCTAAGGTATTGCAATGATTATCAACCAATTATAAAATATCATGTTTGTTCCATGCATCCAGTACCGACTTCATCTTTTCATTCTTCAGTTGACACGCCTGAAATTAATCAGTAGGAGGTGAGTATCTATTTCTTATTTTATTACATGCAAATTAATCTGTTAGTTTGATTTCAAAAAAACGAATAAATTAT